TCCACCCTGCCGCGACCAAAACCCAGCGCGCAGTCCCACGGGCAGCTATCGGTCCCGCATTTTTCAAAGAAACTGCCACCCCCCCCAAAGTGTCGTGCCTGCACCTGTCTGCATTTTTCGAACCTTCCAACGACCAAACGAGCCCGAATCAACGACCAGGAAAATGACTCGGGGGGGAAATGTCTCGGGGGGGAAAACGCACCCTTGACGGGCTGCAAACAGCAAGCAGGCAGGCACCGGGATGACAGCCCAAGATATAGCCCTCCTGGTGGGCCCGATTGTCGAGCCGTGGTGAGTAGTCCCAGTTCCCTGGTCCCCTTCTGCTTGTTAGGCCCCATCTGAGTTGGCGCCCAAAGAACTGGGGCCAATTGATGCCCCTAGAACACCCCTTCTAACCTTCAGCAGCTCGCTTGCCCCGCTCGGCTCCAGGCCCGCTTGCCCCGCTCGGCGCCGCTTGGCCCGCTTGGCGCCTCTTGCCTTGGTTCCAGGCCCGCTTGCCCCGCTCGGCGCCGCGTGCTTCAGTTCCAGGCCCGCTTGCCTCGGTTCCAGGCTCGCTTGCCCCGCTCGGCCCCGCTTCCAGGCTCGTGTGCCCCGCTTGTCCGCGCTCGCCCGCGCTCGCCCGTCCTCGCCCCGCTCGGCCCGCTCGCCCCCGCTCGTCCCCGCTGTCTCCCGCTCGCCCCCGCTCGTCCCCGCTGTCTCCCGCTCGCCCCCGCTCGCCCCCGCGAGCGACAACTGCTCGCATCGTCGCAGGTCGCAGGTCGATATTGGGGGAAGGAAGGGCACCCATGTCTCCGATCAGAAACACAAGAGGGCGTGTGTCTGATGTCTCTGATCCGTCCCACCTATGTCTCCGATCAAGAAACAAGTGGGCGTGCGACCTATGTCAAACAAGAGGATGCACTCGCCCGGTTGTAGCAAGGTAGCGAAGAAAGATCACGCTGCGTCGTTGCAAGTATCAGGTTGGAATCGCGCCTGTTCGAATCGTGCGGGTTATGCGCGACCAGAAGGAAAGCGTGCAAGAGACGAAGAGGGAGAAGTCGGTCCCTGCCACTCTCTCTTGTTCTCTGCCCTTTTCTAATTGCGCGTCGAGTGCGTCGTGGCGAATATTCATTTAGAAAAAAATGATTCGCAGTTTCATCTTCTGCATTGAATTGATTTAGAACAGGATTTTGAACGAGCTACAGAGGCGGCAGAGGAGGGAGGCGTTGGACATCCTCGTGCGTGCGTGACTCATTGATTAGACGTCGCGGGCAGGGATCTGAACGAGCTACAGAGGCCGCAGAGGAGGGAGGCGTTGGACAGCCGCGTGCGTGCGTGACTCATTGATTAGACGTCGCGTGTGACAGAGAGGAAGGACGATGGAGAGCCGAGGTCCCTTTATCCTATTCTTGTTGCTTGTTGGGATCTGCGTCGTCGTCGCCGACATAGAGGTGGATATTACCGTCTCTGAGGTGGATGTCACGGGCTCGAAGCTTGCGGATGGCGCGACTGATGAGGTAGATGGCGTGACTGCTCGTGGGAATCACCTGGCTCTCAAGCGAATGCTGCGCAACGTCGATTTTGTCTTCCAGCAGTTCGTGGAGGAGCACGGGAAGAACTACACCGGAAAAGAGTACGCCTATCGCCGGCAGGTCTTCGCCAAGAATCTTATGAAAGCAGCGTGGAACCAGGTTCGTGTGAGCAATTTTCTATTCTCAAAACCCATCCCTGTTCATCCCTATATCCTGGAAGCATCTTTGGCCAACCCTCCGTTCGCCCACAAGGGGAGTCATGCCCATCAACGTTCTTCGGGTTACTCGCTTCAGGTTGCAGCACTTCGTCACGTTCTAGCTGTCTCCCTCAGTTCTCCTTGTTTTTTCATCTGTTCACATACATCCATGGTTGTATTTATTCCACGTGTGTAGACTGACTGCGCGCGCGTGTGTATGTGTGTGTGTGTGTGTGTGTGTGTGTGAGAGAGAGAGAGAGAGAGAGAGAGAGAGAGAGAGAGGATTGATGGCCTGAGCGTTTTTGTCAATCACAGGAGTGGATAGTGACCTTTTTTTTCTTTCTGTTCTGTGAAGAAGGAAGGACTGATGGCGAGCCCTCCGCCGAACGTCCGCAACTCTCAACGGGTTGTTGTGGCCCTCATGCAGCTGGTGCCGGTCTTGGCCCAGCTTATGTCCTTGCCGCCCTCAACAGGGTCAGTGACTTGACACGTGGCACGCGACGCTGCCACGTGGGCAAGATAGCATGGGCGGGCTGTAGGTGAGGCGCTCTGGGTAGTGGTAGTCGATTTAAGGAATAAATAGCCAGGTGAACTAAATGAGGGTGGTCTGCGGAGGAAGAAGAGTACGACTGTGTTATGGTACTTGTGGAGCTGATTCGATCTCACTATAGCATAAGAAGACGAAGTAAAGGTGAGGGTGAAGGTGCTCGTTGAGCGGAGATAACCCTCAGCATCTCTCTCGATAAGGACGGTAGTAGGGCCTCTTTCCACTACACAATACTACGTGCATTTGGCGGCGTTCTTGTCTGGATACATGTAAAATGTTGGACTCCTCCGAATGCACATAGACGGGAAAGCGTCCAAATGCATGTACAGGGTTTTGAAGTGGAGCGATGCCCATTGTCTGCGGACTATATAAACGCATACGGTTTAGGCTACCCACCCTCGTGCGGATCCAACCCAATTTTTGATAATAAAAAAAAAAAAGACGATGAGGGTGAAAAGGATACAAACTAAAGAAATAGGGGACATTGGTTAAAATTGGAACGACACGGAGACTATTTGCATGGCCCCTGCGTAAGTACAGCACGCGTAGATCGAGAAATGCTCCTATGTTTATTGTTCGTCTGTCGGGACATCAGTTAAAATTGGAACGATACCGAGAAGGTAGACCCGCATGGTCCCTGCGCAAGGGAGGGAAAAAATAACTAGAAAAATATAAAATTAGAAAGAGGACAAGAAAGCATACAGTCGAAATGAGGACAGAAGAAAAACACGGTCAACGGCACGCGGGAAATTCGTGCAGGACATCCGTTAAAACTGAAACGATACAGTTTCTTTTTGTGCTTTTTTTGGAATGTTAATTATAAGTCGAGACCCGGGACGTCACAATTCAACCCGGAGTTATCCTGGCAGAAGTAGCCAGTTTAGAGGCCTCGCTGCACTATCCTCATGCACGAAAGACAAAAAAAATATGGCAATGTATCTTTCCATGTTCTAGCGGTGGATTCATTTTCAACGTACGGTCATTATAGCTGTATTTAGACTGAAAGGTCGCTCAAATACAGCTAGTAGCTTACAGCCAATACGGAGAAGATTAGCATGGCCACTGCGTAAGGATGACGCACATGAAGTCGGGAAAAGGTCCAAGCGGCACGGTACAAATAGCTCCGATCTCATCGCTCAAGGGTGAAGCATCTCAAGGAAGTGGTAAGGAATGGACAGCAAATCAACGACTTAACGACTCGGCTTCTTGTTTCTGCCGAAGGGGGACCCTACGCGCCAATTCCACTCCTCGATTTGATTTTTCGATTTGATTTCTCGACTTCTTGTTTCTGCCAAAGGGGACCCCACGCGCCAATTCCACCCCTCGATTTGATTTCTCGATTTGATTTCTACCGCCACATCACCCGCAGACTTTCCAACTATCTTACATAAAGACACGTGGCACAAGTCAAAGAAAAAATCTCTAGTCTCCCGGAGATGATGACACGTGGCATCAATCGAAATGGGGAACTGAGGGGTTAAGAAAACCAGAGCTAGGGAAGGGGAGGTGATGGCGATTTTTCAGGGGAGAGTGGCGGTTGTGGGAAAGGTAAAAAAGAAGCGTGATATTGCGAAACTCTAGAGAAAAAGGCGATGGGTTCGGAGGGTCAAGCAAACATCTTCTTCATGCATGCCTCTTCATGCAAGCACTGCGCTGAGATATTCAAGGCTATCCCCGTTCCTGACTTTCTGCCACATCGGCATGATTGGGACAGGGGGGGAGAGGCTGGGACGGGTAACTGGGCACAGACAGACAGCCTCACACAGAGAGAGAGAGAGAGAGAGAGAGAGAGAGAGAGAGAGAGAGAGAGAGAGAGGTACCCGTGCTTGCGCACATGCGCGATCTTTCTAGAGAGAGAGAGAGAGAGAGAGAGAGAGAGAGAGAGAGAGAGAGAGAGAGAGAGAGAGAGMCACACTTGCAACAATAGACAACACGTGCGAGGTTTTACTTTCGCAGTATACACGTCCTGTCCATGGCATGCGAGAACTGTCGCCATTACCCTTCTACCTCACTGCTCAGGTAATTCTTTCAGCCACCGTCCCTGAATTTATACCCTATCATCCTTATCCTTCCCACCTGCTTGTCCTCAATCCCTGCAGTGTCCTCATCATCGTTGCCTCTGATTTCTCCGTAGTCACGCTCTGTAACGCCCTTGTCGTCGTTGGTTTCCCTTGGTCGTCGATTTGCTGCATATAACATCTTCCTCTTGCGTATGCTCCTATGGTGCAGTCTATTCTGTTTCTATTCCTCTCTCTGTGCCGGACTTCCGTGCTCATTCAGTTTATTTCCCTTTCAGCCGTCTTTCTGTCGAAAAATAATGCTGAAAATTTTGTTTATATCTGACTTGTCTTTTTGGCTTTCTTCTGGCTTTGTATGTTCTTTGTCTTTCGGGTGGTGATGGGTTTCATTATTTTTCAGGTCTGTACTTTCATCTTCCCGTCGCATGTTTGTTATATGCTTACTCTGGTTTTCGGTTCGATTCATTTCACTGCGTATGTTGGGAAATCAATACGGTCATTTTTGCGTCATTATATCTGCATGTCGCCGATCTTTTTTATGTGATTTTAGGCTTGCGCGTTCCCTTTTCTTTTTCTTTTTCTTTTTTTTTTATCTTTTATTGTTTTTCTTTCTCTGATTTTATATCATTTTCCTATTGGTGTTTCTTCTGCTTCCAGACACTCTCGGAATTTCCTCCGGACTTCAGTGTCTTTGCAATTTCTGATGAATGCCAAAATCGCAGTGCGGGTTATCCTCCATGGGTAGTCCATCAGTCGGAGTTCCCTACAAAACAGCTTACAAAACAGCTTCATTGCCGTGGTCAGGTCTGCGACATCATAGGTGTTCGCTACCATTCTGTGAAGCGTGCCAATTATCGTCAGTATCTTTGTTTTCTCGGAACCCGCACTCCTGAAGCGACGCAATGTCCTGAGAGAGAGAGAGAGAGAGAGAGAGAGAGAGAGAGAGAGAGAGAGAGAGAGAGAGAGAGAGAGAGAGAGAGATGTACCCATGCTTGTGCACGTGCGTGGCCAGGAGAGAGAGAACGACCAAGAACTTCATGCAAGCAGGGGCGGGAGTGAAGTTTTTACCACCTGGCAAAGAAGAGAGCAACCATTCACGAAGCAAAATCAGGGCCGGGTTCTTAAGAGGTTTCTGATTTGTTGAAACGCTGGTGAGCGAATGACGCGTGGGAGCAACTTTATGGGCATAACGCAGAATGACTGTGGTGAGATATCAGAAACTCATAATTGGTTCGGATTAGAGTACTTTCTACTACTGAGTTGTATGGATTGATTGGTTGCGAAAAATATCAGTCCGTCTTCGCCCGAATGGAACACTTTGTGATTACAGCTGTTTTTCGTGTAGTTTTCTGTCTCGATTCAATGATAACGACCAGGCGTTCTATTCGAACAAAGTGAGGACGACAGCTGGGAAGGGCGAACCGGTAGAGCGACAGGAGTTCATGGACTGTTTTTACAAGGAATCTATTATCATGAGAACATGAGGCCGGAAATTCCTCACAAACATCCCCAAAAAAAAACTTGTCTCGCACTGGTCCGGTTGCCCAGCTTAGAACCTTGGATTTTAATCCAACAACACTGCTGCCCAAACACAAAACAAACCAAAACAAACCAAAATCAACACAGCAGCACACTGCTGCCCAAACGCAAAACAACGAAAACCAACACAGCAGCACAGATGTGCAGGCAAACACAGACAAACCAACCAAAACGAAATACTAACCAGAGAGACTCATGTCCCTCCTCTTGACTAGCCTAACAAAACTTCCTGGGTTAAATCCCCCTTGAAGTTCCTGAAGTTCCCTGCCTAACTCGGCAGGGTGGACCACCGGTCCACAGTCGTTGTGACACTCTCTTCCCTTACTGTCCCTCTTGCCTCCTACTCTGGATGATTACAACCGAGTGTCCTGGCTGGGGCCTTAGGGTGAACCCAGCCTTCTCCTACCCTATGCCTACGTTCCATTCTTTCTTTGTCTACACTACCCTTTTATTTAAGCAGCCAATCCGAAAACTCCAGATCTGAATTGTTCTCAATTGTGACTAGGCTTCCTCTGTTTCCCCATGTTTTGGAGAACCACTGCCTGCCTTGCCCCCTCCCTTCCCCTCTTCTGCCCTTTCTCTTCCAATTCCACCAATATGGCAGTCCTAATCTGAGATTTGACAGTGTTGATCATTTCCTTGTCATTCATGTCCTCGTTGTTGAATACTTGTTTGTTTCTTCCCTGCCATATCACTGAGAAGCAGATAGCTCGAGTCACCCGGGCAACATAGCCCCATCCTTTTGTCAGGTGGAAACGTTCTGGAACTCCTAGTAGAACCCATGTCTTGTCGCATGGAAAGGCCCCATCTGAGAGTTGTAGCCACTGTTTCGCCCACCATCTCCAAATCCTGGCTGAG